GCATTACCATAAACTATACACCCTTACATTAAGGATAGTAGTTCCAGTCATAGTGTTAGTAAAAATCCCAAAACTAGTATGCCTTGGCCTTTTATGTCCAATGGTTGTTGCATTAGTCGAGCCTCCTCATAGTGTAGTTCCTCTTCATTTTCCCCTGCCTAGTCCAGGGCCTCCTGTAGATTGAGATGTTGAAGGTTGTGTGGTAGTAGAGTTTCCTGTAGCAGATGTGAATACACCCCTACCAATGCCAAGTTTAGTTCCTCTTCCTTTTCCTCTTTCGCTACCAAGTCCAGTTGATTGATTGTTGCTTTGTCTTTTTATAACACTTGTATCCTCACATATAGATGATGGAATACTTTGTTAAGATGGTATTTCCTGAGATGATCTTGGTGGAGGTGGTGGCATATTTTGACTTTGTTGAGTAGCACTTCTTGGAAAATGCTGAAATAAGTAAAAGAAAAGAATATCTGAATTGTAAAAAAAGAATGTAAAAGACAAAATTACAAATATGAGAACTTACCATATTCTTGCATCCAGATTTATTGTGGCCTGTTTGTTGGCAGTTTGAACAAAATATCTTTACCCCTTTCTTTGATAGTTTACCATGCTTTTTCCTTGGTTCATCCTTGGCTTTTCTCCTACATCTCTTTGGTCTACCTGGCATAGGTTTAGGTTCTGGAGGCTCTATATATGGATTTGTTGAATCTGGCCACATCTTCATGTTGAAAATTGGTTGAATGAAATGCTGGTAAGCTTTAAGGAAAGTTTTCTTCCTATACCAGTGGGAAACATAATCATCTGGGTCCATTTCTCTATCATAAAATGCACATACTGCATGTTGACATGGAATGTCCCTCAACATCCATGATCTATAAGTACATGTCATGGTCTTAAAATCAACAATGAATCTGTACACACCTTCATCAACTTCAAACCCATGTTCTGCATTCCACATAACCTTACACCTCCTAGAGAGGCCTTTGTTCTCTTCCAATATCATCCTAGCCATTGGTGCAATGTCAGTAACCCAAGTCTCAACAAACTTCCTCATTTCAATGGTCCTATTCATGATTTTGTGTCTAATTCCTTCCAACATAGCTATAACAAACTTGTGCCTAGGACCTACTATCCAAGATCTGAATATTTCACACATGTTATTGTCAATGACATCACACTTTGAATCTTCTCTAAAGTATGCCCTACACCAATACTCTTTATCATACTTCAACAAGTCTTCACATATCTTATAACCAAGCTTATTCATTGCTTCAAGTTCTTCCTTGAATTTCACTTCATAAGATGATTTGGCACATCTCCAGAATTGTTTCCTCCTTTCTTCACCTCTCTAGTTCTTGGACTAGTTAGACCAAATGTGTCTAGCACACATTCTGTGTTCTGCCATTGATAGTAATTCTCTTATAGTTGGTACTAGTCCCTACAAAAAATAGTAATAACTGTTAGTGGACATAACTGGAAAAAGAAAAATTAAAAGTTGATTGTAACTTTACCTTTTGCATATCTGACATAACAGTTAAGCCAACACCATCTCCTAACTGTAAATTGGCAATCAAATATGTGATGAACCAACTCCAAAAGTGTTTTGTCTCTTGATCAACTACAACTCATGCAATAGAAAACATTTGATTGTTCCCATTTCTACCAACTGTAACAAATAACTCACCCTTGCAGATTCCTTTTAGAAAACAACCATCAAATCCTATGATCCTTCTGCACCCTTCTAACCATCCTCTTTTCAAAGCATCTAAATATAGATAGAAATAGACAAATAGATTCTTGCCAGGAAGAGTCTCACTATCTGTTCCGATCCACCATGAACTCCCAGGATTTGTTTACTTAATAATATCAGTATAATCAGCAAGTCTGTTAAATTCTATCCTCCAATCACCCATGAAGTGACTTATCACCCTACACTTAGCCATGTAACAAACAGTCCTTCCAATATACAAACCTAACTTATCCTTGACCAAATCCTGAATCTCCCACAACTTAATATTTGGTTGGGAAATAATCCTATCTTTATACTTATTGGCGATGTACTTAGAAGTACATAATTTGTTCTTATTTTTGGTGTTGCACTTATGAGCTGGATGGTACTTCTTCACAGTAAAGTCACATGAATCCCCCATAATTGCTTGCATACAATTTTCAGTTACACTTGGCTCCTTTACACTTAACTCTAACCCTATCATTTTCATTAAGCCTAATTTTTAGTTGCACTTTGTTCTCCACAGCATATGAGGCTACTGCTTTTTTAAACTCTACAGCATTTTCAAATACCATACCAAGCTCAAAAATAACAAGGTAACAGTCAAGGTCAAACCTTATCTTTTTACTTGTCCTTCTAGGAGGTAAGTCAATACCCCTTTCAGCTAAAACATCTAAGTCATTTGTGTTATCATCACTTCTAATATCAGAACTAGTATAGTAGTCTTCATCCCCTTCCTAATTTTCCAGCAAACCTGTCCTCCTTAGCTGGCCTACCAATATCCTCAAAGCCTTTATCTATTCCAACTTCTCCCAGAATAATCTCTTCAGTTGGAGTAGGTTTCTTTCTCTGTTTCTTCTATTTTTTCTTATTTCTTCTTTCATGCCTTAATGAAGTGAGCTCTTCATTCACATCACTATCATTTTCATTAGGAATGTTATCTAATTCAGACTCACTACTTGAAAGATCTGATGCCAAACCAACATCTATGTTTGTTGTTTCTTTAGCCATAAATGTGTTATCTGCAGCACTTTCTTGGACATTTATATCCTCTAGAACAGTAGATGTTGCCCTACCCTCTTTATTTAATATATTTTCACTTGGTTCAATAACTTTTGGCCCATATAAAATGCCACATGGGACAGTCTCATCAACCAATAAAGGCTCACTAACTACATATTTAATAAATAAATCTAAATAATCAAGATGATTAAGGTGACAAACTATATTATACAGTTGTTCATCATTTTTAATCAAGACAAATTTATTAGATTTCGGATTAATTATATAGAAATCCTCTACCTCAGCATACCTCATATCCTTTGTGTAGGACAGAAGCTCAAAAAGAGAAAAATGGTCTTTGTCTATCATGTGACCATCCTCACCCATCTCTCCTATATATCTCGGGTCAGGATCCTTGATAATATGTCCACCATGGTGAAAATCGACAAGAATATATTCGTCTGCAGACATGTCTAGATTTACCACTGTATTGAAAAACCAAAAAGCGAAACAGGGGATGTCAGTAGATTCCCCGACCCAAAATTATAAAAAAAAAACCCTAATTTTCATAAACTCCAATCAAACTAAATTACAACAACCAAAAACAACTATGTTTTCGGTAAATAAAAGCTTACCACAAAGGAAAACTTCGATTGAAATATCATAAACCGCGAAACTCCAGTCACGACTAGCTTCAGTTACGACCAACTCCACTCACCACCACGGTCGAAAGAAGCAAATGATTACCCGTATTAGTAATATAACTGACCAAGATGTTGACGGACAGTTGAATCTAACTCAAAATCGATGAAGATTCCACCGAGAATCGGTCTCAATGTAGTTCATTAGGGTTTATTAGGCTAAAGAACGGAAATTTTGGGTGGAAGATCGATTAACTGAGGCGAGGTAAAATGTGGGTAAGGTAAAAATAAAAAATAAAAAAGGGAGGAGGGGGGAAGGGGGGGTTATCCGACCTGGATAAATAAACACGTGTCAGACTATTCTTGGTATGTTATTCCACGTGGGAAGCATTTAAAAACACGAGCTTAAGTTTTTACAGTCCGGTCATGCGTTGTGTTTAAATGGTATAGACCAAAATAGAGTTAAAGTGTTCAATAGGAAACGCGCTAAGTTAAGGTATCAAAATGGAAATTAGAGCCAAGTTTAGGAGACCGTACACCAATTTGGCCTTTATAATTGTGATGTCTGAAATATTTTGTATATTAACTCATTTGACACGGTATTTGTTATCTCTCATCGGTATAGATACCAAGTAACTCAATTCACTAAATCTTGGACAGATGGAAGAAATCACTAATTAGTAGTAGTTTTATTTTTGCTTTTTCTAATTTTTTTTATATTTTTGATTAAATATTTACTTTTCATTGATCACTAATCACACACCCTTTGTAATTATGTTAATATTGAATTGGCATTTGTCGTGGTCGTGTGTGTGCCTGTATATATTTACGTAATCTGATGCCATACCAAATTGAGGATTTTAAATACAAAATGACTTATTTATATTTGGAATCTCCATCTAAATAAGAACAAATAAAAAAATGAATATTGGGAGTAGGCATATGTTGAACCATGGTGACGTGTGTGTTTTGTTGGTAAGAAACGTTGCTTAAAAAGCTATTTCTGCCATATTCTCTTTTTGGTTTTCCATTCCGTAACTCCATTGGAAATCAACTAAATTTGAATTAGCGCAGGAAAATCCCATATTGAGGATAAAATGTTTCCTAACAAATATGACTTCATACCCAAGATTTGAACCCGAAATCTCTGATTAAGAATGGAGGAGTATTTAACACTTCATCACAATCCTTGTCAGTATTTCTGGCATAATCTATTCTTTGCTTGTTACATTTTCGCCTTTCTTTTTGGTCTAATTAAGGGGTGAGACGAGATAGAGGAACGATTTTGAATTATGACCGTATTTTTTATATAACGAAAAAGTTAATTTATTGGTCTTAGAGCTAGTTTTTTTCTCACTTGTTGGGATCATACTGGGTTTGTTGTTATTATTGTAAAGCTAATTTTGATAGAACGCATATCTAAAATAGCCTTCTCTTTTTCCTAAATATGCTTTTTAACTTTTTTGTTTGGCGTAAGGGTAGTTGGAAGGGGCTTCGGTAATACATTTCTCAATTCTGATACTTATCATTGAGTTTAAATTATGTGCATAGTGTATAAATTTTTATACATCAGGTTAAATTAACTAACAACAATAAGTGAATCTTCATAATAAATCTGATATAGTAAGCTTCTTATAATTGATTTGAAGTAACAGATTTCTCTCTGTACAACTAGTCGTTATTACTCAAACGGTAACTTCTTCCCCCATCCATTGGGCGCTTGGTGTTCACGCATTGTCTAATGGGGACGCCGGCGGATCCCAATCCGGCGCGTATCTCAGAGAGAGACTATGCATCCCACAACTGGGAAGATAACTTTGGAAGAAGAAATCCCCACCAAATCCAAATATGCGATGGCTTTGAAAGCTCCTTAACAGCAAACCCAAGTTCATCACCCTATGGTGACCCAACGGTTAAAGCTCGATTCTCGACTCATAATGGGATGCCAGCGATTATATTTAAAGGTAGCGATTACTATGGTGTTATGGCGGAAGAATGCAAACGGACAATCGCGGGCAAATTTCTCAGAACCAGGCCTCAAATTGAAAAAATTCGAACCAAATTTGCTGAGAAAATCTCTGTCAAAAGGTAATGTAAAAATTGGAGTATATGATTATAGTACTGTTTTTCTTGATTTCACCAACGAACATGACTTTAAATCAGTATGGTATAGGAGATCTGTTGAAATTGAGGGGCAAGTTATGAGGTTAGAAAAATGGACTCCCGACTTTAAGTCGGATGTAGTTTGTCACGCCCCGACCTCGGGGAGCGTAATCGGCGCTCAATCAAGATAACTCGGTCGAGCAAGCCTGCTAGATTCCCTTCTATCCAACTCACTCATAAATAAAGAAAATATAAACTTTATTTATTAACACCAAGAGGGTTCATGAACAACACTAATTCCATCACCATTAGTCACTTCATTTATAAAGTCTCAAAATACACACACTTTTATAGTTTAAAGTGGAAGATGTAACACACATACAACATTACTGTCTTGACTTTTTCAATACCAATACACAATCCACGCCATGTCTACGGAACCTCTAATAGATGTAAAAGAGTACAATGATAGTGTCGGCAATAAGGTTCTGACTATATCTCAAAACATAATACACACGAAACAAAAGATGTACAACCCCGGAAGGAAGTGGGGCTCACCAAGTCAACTGGGAAGAGAGTGTACCGCTGTCACTGGTAAATACCTTCCGCTGTGAAACCACCTGCATCCATTAAAGATGCAGCGCCCCCGGCAAAAGGGACATTAGTACATGTCGAATAGTACTTGTATGAAACCAAACACCTATTCAAGGACTTGGAAATACAGCATGAATTATGATGAATTATGGTAACAATAAAAGGCTTAGTTGGCCGTTAAAACCACAGCAAATTTATTAAGAGGTTTCAATAACAATTATCAAGTCGGGGATCCTCTACAAGTATCTTTACACAAAGCGGTCCTGCCGCCTTACCCCAATGTATGCAGGTGGAGGTGCAATCACAATACCAGAAACTCTACACCAAACGGCCCAGCCGTCTCATCCCAATGTATGCGGGTGGAGGTATGCTCACAATACCACAACACTACACAAACCGACCCCACCGCCTCACCCCCAATATATGCGGATGGAGGTATATTCACAATACCACAACACTACACGAAGCGGCCTCGCCTCATCCCAATATATACGGGTGGAGTTATATTCACAATACCATAATTTAGGGTCCAAGACAATAATAGTTTGTACAAAAGAGTTCCCTTTCAAATCAAGCATTTGGCACCTTTGCCCTTAGCAGTGTAAGTTTATAAGGTTTCATCGTATGAGGAATAAGTGCTTAATCACATTGATTTTATACAATACTTTCTTCCCACAAAGGGTATAACATAATTAAGTCGCAATAGACAACCTTTAACACATGAGGGTCCGAACACGTTATGCAATTTGAGAATCAATTTACTAGCTTGAACACCCCACATCAATAGTGTTTCAAGTTCAACTACACATGATAGAATTTTATAAGTATTCGGGAATTCCGATACTAGAAGAACAGTTTAGCCTTCATACCTCGCTTTGAGCTTCCCTTAATTCACTACACAATTCCAAAAATTCTAGCAATTTCGATCTATTTAGAGACATAGAAAAATTGAACACAAATTAGGAAGATATTCATAGTATCAGCTCATTGGAGCATTTTATCAAACACTAGGTATGCAAATTTGATTGCAAGGTTCTACCACATGATTTCCTTCACTCCACAACCCAATCTTTACCCATTTGAACTCAACAATCCTCCCACAAAATCTTATTGGTACATGCATGTATAAATTACAACTCCCATACCCATAAATCATACTCCCAAATTACCCATCTTATACCCAAACTCGAATTGAAAACTAGGGTTTGAACCTTACCTCTTGGATGAATACCTTGTGAGTTTTTCTTGTAAATTCTCCAAGTCTTGTGCAAGGATTGATGAACAATTAGCAAAGGGCTCCCCATCTCTCTACTCTCACTTCTCTCTAAAATATCAGATTTTTGCTTCAAAAGAGTCCCTCTACTTAAATATATCGAAATAGGATCGGGTCAAAAATTAGAAAAATTAAAATTCCGACGCAGATCTGCGGTCGCATATGCGACTGCATAATGCTTCTACGGTTCGCAAAATGGACCGCACAATTGCCCTCGAAACTAGGCGATTCTGCCTCATTCTGCGACCGATTTGCGGTCCGCATACCTATTCTGCGGTCGCATAATGGACCGCAGAACCTTCTTCGAAAATTTTTCATTTTGGTTCTGCGATGGGATTTGCGGCCCGTAAAATGGTTATGCGGCCGCATAATGGACCGCACAATGGTCCTAAAATTTAACTCAAGTTTCTGCTTCACTTTGCGGCAGGTCTGCGGCCCGCGGAGTGATTCTGCGGTCGCAAAATGAATCGCATAAATGCCCTACACTTTCAAGATTTTATTTAACTCTCCAATACACTGTTCAACCCAAAAAGTCCAAGCCACAGCGAGCTTGTGAGCCGCGAAAAATTTCTACAATCGTTAGCACATAAGTCTACTTCGGCACCACGAAACCCTGGATTTTCGGTAAGATTTTACGGGGCCTTACATCCTCCCCCACTTAGGATTATTCGTTCTCGAATGAGAATCAAAGTTCATTGTTAGCACCCAATGTGGCTCAGCTGCTATAACACACAAACTTCAATGGAGACAGTATTGCTGGTCCAAATGGATACAATGGGACTTTTTTTCCATAGTTGTTGGGATATCATAAAAGAGGATATAATATCCTTTGTTGAGGAGTTTTTCAAAGGGAAAAACCTTACAAAATTTTATTCTCATATATGTTTATTTCTCATACCTAAAATTGAAATTCCTTCTTGTTTTTAAGATTTTAGACCTATAAGTTTGTCAAATTTTATAAAGAAAATTATTTCGAAAATTATTTCAATGAGACTCAACCCCTACTCCCTTTTATTATCTCGAAAAATCAAAGTAGCTTTGTTAAAGATAGACTAATAACTAAAAATGTTCAATTGGCATAGGAGATTATTCAGCCTATCTCACAGATCAATAAAGGAGGAAATATCATTATGAAATTAGATATGGCAAATGCCTATGATAGAATGTCATGGACCTTTGTTACTGTTGTTTAAAAAAAAATAGTATTTTAGACCTATGGACTGACATGGTGTTTAGACTAATTTCAGGAGTCTGGTATTCAGTCATCATTAATGGCTCTAGAAGTAGTTTCTTCACCTCTTTACAAGGACTCTAAATAAGTGCTAACAAGATCTCTAAATAATTTGCATGCTAACGAAAATTTATACCTTTCTCTATGCCTACTAATGGTCCACTAATTAATCACTTGGCTTATGCAGATGATATTCTCATTTTCAGCAATGGCAATAATAGATCCATGAGGTTGATCATAAAACAAATAAGAAGATATGAGCAAAGCTTTGGAAAACAAATCAACAGCAACAAGAGTTACTTTCTCACTGCTCCAAAGACTGCAGCTACAAGAATCAATAGAATGATGGCTTGTACCGAATTCATAGAGAAGGAATTCTCATTCATATACTTGGGATGTCCAGCCTATGTAGGAAAAAAAGATAGAATATTTTGACAATATGGTAAGCAATGTAATGCAAAGGCTAAATAGTTAGGCAAGGTAGAATGTTGTCATATGGTGAAAGGATAGTGCTCATAAAAAATATTTTGCAAGCACTATCTACATACAACCTTAGTGCATTAGTACCCCCAAAGGAAGCTTTAACTTACTAGAAAAACATTTTGAAAACTTCTTTTGGGGTTCTAATGGTGACACCAACAAATATCACTGGAGTTCGTGGAGAAAGTTGTGTTATCCAACTTAAGAAGGAGGAATAGGAAGAAGAAGAATGGAAGAAATCAGTGATACCCTTGCAATTAAGAGATGGTGGAGGTTTAGATCGAAGTCATCCCTCTTAGCTACTTTTCTGAAAAATAAGTATTGTGTAAGAGCTCACCCTACAACTAAGCAATGGGCTTCTGGAGACTCTCACTTTTGGAAAAGCATGACTCGGACTAGAAAGAAGGTTAAAGACCATATGATCTGGCATGTTAATTCAGGAAGTTGTAGTTTTTGGTGGGAAAACTGGACAGGGAAAGGTCCACTAGCTGTTGAAGTTCGGGCCACTACCGAGGTACCACTTCGTAGGTCCAAATCACAAAAGTAACTCACAATCTCTCCTTATATCACCGCGGGAGCCTTTATATTTAGTTTTGAAAATTATTTTTCCCGAAATAGAATCTCGCGTTTTAGCGCACCTTATCACACCGCGTGGCTTCTAGTAGTTTTCCAACTATGCACGCATATCGAGCCCACCTTATCTCACTGCATGCGTTTCAACACCCAAACTTTATATCACCGCACACGTATCAATATCACAATGTATCATAATTCGCACCTCAAGTGTCCAATATCACAACTTGCCTGAAAAGTCAAACAATAATAGAATTTCGTAATAAGGAGCCCACGGCCGAACCACAATGTACACAAACTCTCAACAATAACAACCGGAGAGTAACTCAATAAAATAATATTTCACAACCTACACTTTGCCTCAATAGGAACCACGGCCTTTGCAACTTAATACCAAATTCAACAACAAGATATTCCAAGAATAGCAATTTCAAGTAAAGAATTCAACAGTTAAATAATAAATACGGAATAAAGGAAGCAAGTACTTCAACTAAACATGTAGGATAATTTGCAAATAAGAGATAAGACAAGTAGACAAGTGAAATTAGACTAAACATGATGACTATAACATGTTAAAGTAACTCAACTAAAGCATGAAAGGAACTACATAGCTAAAAACCAGGAATTTCAACATTTAGTCCGTGAACACACTCGTCACCTTGCGTACACAACTTTCACATATCATAATTATCACAATAATACAAAATCCTAAGGGGTAATTCCCCCACACAATGTTAGATAAGTCACTTACTTCAAACCACGCTAAATCAATCAACTAAAAGTCCTTTCCCTCGATTTTCCAACTCTGAACAGCTCGAATCTAGCCAAAATAATTTCATACAATAAATATAACTATAGGAAACTAATCCAAACAATGAAATTATGATCTTTGCAAAGAATTACAAAATCGACCCAAAAAGTCAACCTAGGATCGCGTCTCGAAATTCGACCAAAATTATAAAAACCGAACACCCACTCAATATCGAGTCCAACCATACAAGAATTATTCAAATCCGACCTCATTTCACCTTTCAAAACTCAAAAATTTAGCCTAAAGAGTTTCTACCATTTTCTCCCAATTTTTCCAACTCAAATCCTTAATTACATGATAAGAACAATGATAGATTCGAGTAATTTAACCAAAATCGAGTTAGGAATCCGTACCCCAATGATCTCTCTGAAAATCCCTCGAAATTACGCCTCAAACCGAGCTCTCTATGTCCAAATGTGAAATATGGAATAAGTCTTCGATTTTGAAACTTAAGTTTGCTGCCCAGTGATTTACACATCGCGATCGCGGAATTTCCTTCACGGTCGCGAAGAACAAAAATTCCATCAGCTCAAAACCTTATACGCGAATGCGAGATTTTCTATGCGAATGCGAAGCACGGCCTCATCAAGCTACGTGATCGCGGTTCCCCACACGCAATCGCAATGTACAAAGTGTGTGGACCTGCTGCCCCCAAATTCCTCTACGCGAACACGACCTTCTCCACGCATTCGCGATTCACTGNTTTCTATTAATTAGAATTTTAATAAGTAAGCTATGAAATTTTTCTTAGTATCACTTAAAGTACACGTAAATATTTAATTTTCCTATTTTACATGAAATGTTAGTTAATCTTCTTATCTTTATAATTTAATTTATCTTTTAAAATAAAATATAAAACAAAAGTAAACTAAATAAAACAAACGTAAAAATCTGATTTAATAAAGATAAACAATCCCATAATCTCCATTTTTAGTCTAACTAACCCCATGATCTAATCTCACCCTACACCCCTCACTTCACTCACGCCTCACCCCCACTCCCTCACATCTCCATATGCGCACACACACAATGTCAATCATGTTCCCCCACTTCAAATGGGGGAACAAAAACTATATATGATTCCCTATAAAGAAAAACGTAAAGGGGAGCAAAACAAAAAGGAGAGCAAAGTAAAAAGAGTGCAATCGGACAGAAAAAATCAGAACTAAAAAAAGGCATTGTTCTTTTATAAAAAGATTCATTTGGAAAACTGTGTAGTTGAAGTTATTTAGTTTGAAGACGGAGTTCGGGATTTCATTCGCGGTTCCGAGTTTGAGGTTGTCAGAGTTCTGTTCCTTAGCTTCAGTTCCGATTCTCTGCTTTGCATTAGGTTTAATCTCCTCTACTGTACGAGATGATTTATTTGGAATTTTCTTATCTATATATATTTGAAAGGTTTCATCGCTTAAGGTCCGTTTCTTTCTCTATTTCATTACCCTTTTCCATTTCTCTACGATTCGAGTATTTTACTTTTTATGTGTGCCTGCTTTGAGTTTATAATATCATTAATTTGTAGTTGGTTTTATGAGATATTGGCATTATTTCTTTATTAAAGAAAGCATAAGGTTTTGTTGTACATATGTAAAATCTTTGGAGGGAACAGAACTTTAGTGGAATTGTTGAAAAGGCAAGTATATTTGTTTTAAGCTTTCTGTTATTTTTTTTTGGTATTGAGAAATTCTATCGGAAGTGTTAACTTTATCAAATAGATCACATTAAAG